AAAAATATTTTAAGAAAATCTTTTAAAGATTTGTACAAAGATCAAGAGTTCCCAACTAGTATTTCAGTGGTTGTATCCAGATATGTGCATATAAATGGTCAAGAATATCAGTAACTTTCATATGTATGTTTTTGATTGTGTGTCCTGTTCTGTTTTATGGCCAATAATGACACTTTTGTTTCATGTTTATTAAGGCCTCATTCGTTTGCAAGAGCTCATCAAAGCACCATCAAGGTACAATCTTCGGCTTAAAATCCGTCAGTTACCAGCTGATACAAAAGATGCAAAACCTTTACTTAAAGAGATGAAAAGAGGCAAGGAATTTCATGTGATCTTTGACTGTAGTCATGAAATGGCAGCAGGCATTTTGAAACAGGTAATCATCAAATTATTTAAATTCTTACTGTATTTATGACATTTCTGTGGCCTGGTTTTTCCATCAGTGTGACACTGTCATATAGCTTTTATTTTTTTAAAAGAGGTATGACCTTGATGTAATTGTATAATAGTCTGATAATTACTTTCATTTAATTGCTTTAATAAAAATTTTGTAAATGCTGATGATTTACAAAACGCATTGTCTGAATTGTCAAGTTGTTTTCAAGTAGCTACTTAGTTACACTATTATTTGTAATGTGAATATATCAGCAGGCTTTCAAAAGTTCATCAAATAATAGAATGGAAAGAAAATGGAATTTTCCATAAACTTTTTGAAGCCCCCTGGTATCTTAATAGTGTAAATAATGACAAGGAGATGATGTGTGTCCTCCTCTGACTCTTCAAGGAGAAGGAAAAAGAGTCAAGTGATAAGAGATTACATTCTAACGTAACTACATCTGCCATATTGACTTTATAATACTATGTGCATCCCTCAACTATGATCAGAGGGGATTCACATGAGGCTTTAATCCATGTGTGAACCCTGAAAGTGGATTTTGGGTTTTCATTGACACTCATAGCCTTTTACAAATCAGGCCTTCACAATTTAAGCTCTGATACTATTTTTTCCTAGGATTTGGATTTTATTGTTTACAATCCTTGGGTCACACAGGGTGGTGTGCTTCTTCCATGTGGACTTTGTTGCTGCTTCACTTACATGACTTCCTGTTTGAAGACAAGACTTTCAGATCCCAGAAGCTATTCTTTCGAATGGCCAGTTGCCCTCTACTTCCTTCAGCACACTCGGTTATAGCACCCATAGCTTTAGTGATCTCTTTATGATCAAGCAGGACCATTGTTATAAGAACCAATTTTCCTTAGATTGGGACTAGAATTAAGTGTGAGCCCCAAATCAATTCCTGTATGTCTAGGGTCACTTTGGAGGCATCATTCTCGCCGTGTTTTGTTAGAGAACCTTATCAACCATCCCCTTGGGGCATATGACAATGCTATTGATAATGGCATTAATTAAGCTAATGACATATAATTTTATTTTATCATTTTATTGGGGACTCCTACAATTCTTATCACAATCCATACATACATACATTGTGTCAAGCACATATGTACATTTTTTGTCATCATCATTCTCAAAACATTTGCCTTCTACTTGAGCCCTTAATATCGGCTGCTAATTTTCCTCCTCCCTCAGGAACCCTTCATAATTCATAAATTATTATTATTTTGTCATATGTTACACTGTCTGATGTCTCCCCCCACCCTCTTCTCTGCTGAATGACATAGAATTTAAAACACTGTTGAGGAAAGGAAATTATACAGGTATAGGCTACCTACAAACCACAGTATATGAAATGTTGACTTGTAAATATTAAACTATTAATTGGGACATATTTACCCAGATTATGGGGATTGGTGATAGGGTAAAACTTCAGTAATATTCATTTACATGAACAGAATTGTGCCTACCGTAATTAATACATATCACAATAAAGTATCTTTCCAAATTGACTGCCATCAAGTCATTGCTGACTCGTAATGATCCCCTGTGGGTTTCTGAGACTATAACTATGGGATTAGAAAGGCCAGTCTTTTTCCTGCAGGACTTCTGGTAGTTTTGAACTACCGACCATACAGAACACAGTCCAACATATAACCATTACATCACCAGGGGCCCCCATATTAAAGCAAGGAGGCAGGAGAAAGGAAGGGGGGTGTTAACCAACCCAGGAACATGGGAACAGCAAGTGATCTAAAATAGATGGAGAGAAAGGCATAGGATGCCTGGTGGGGTTAAATCAAGGGTAGTGTAAACTAGAGAAATTACTGAAACTGGAATGAAGGCCAAACATGATAGTGGGACAAGAGGAAAGCAAAAGGAAATAGAGGGAAAAAACTAGGAGTCAAAGGACATCTATAGAGGTCTAAATGCAGGCATTTATATATGATGATAGGGAAACAGATCTATGTACTTTTATTTACATGTTAACTGTTAAGGCATCAGATGGACATTGGGCCTCGACTCAAGTACTCTCTCCATGCAAGAACACTTTGTACTAATAATCGGCATTCTGTGATGCTCACCTTCCTGCCACGATTGCTGAGGACAAATAGGGTGCATAAGCAAATGTAGTGAACAAAGTTGATGGTGCCTGGCTATCAAAAGATATAGCATCTGGGGTCTTAAAGGCTTGAAGGTAAGCAAGTGGTCATCTAGCTGAGAAGCAATAAAGTCCACATGAAAGAAGCACACCCGCCTGTGTGATCATGAGGTGTCAATGGGACCAGGTATCAGGCATCAAAGACCCAGAATAAAAACTCATATCAACATGAGTGATGGGGAGGACAGAGTGGAGACCCAAATCCCATCTGTACACAATTGGACATTCCCTTACAGAAAGGTCACAAGGAAGGGATGAGCCAGTCAGGGTGCAGTATAATATTGATGGAACATATAACTTTCCTCTAGTTCTTTAATGCTTCCTTCCCCCTCCACTATCATGACCTCAATTCTACCTTACAAATCTGACTAGACCAGAGCATGTACATTGGTATAGATAAGAGCTCGCCACACAGGTAATCCAGGACAGATAAATCCCTGAGGACCAATAATAAGAATAGAGATACCAGGAGAGTAAGGGGAAGGTGGGGGGGAAAGGGGGAACCAATCACAATGATCTACATATAACCACTTCCTAGGGGGATAGACAAGAGAAAAGTGGGTGAAGGGAGGCAGCACTTGATGTAAGACATGGGGGAGGGCAATTTATAAATTATCAAGGGTTTATGAGGGAGGGAGGGGGAAAGGGAAAAATGAGGAGCTGATATCAAGGGCTAACATAGGAAGAAATTTTTGAAAATGATGATGGCAACATATGTACAAATGTACTTGGCATTAATGGATAGATTGTGATAAGAGCTGTAAAAGTCCCACAATAAAATGATTACAAGTAAATAAATAAGATAGTATATGGTAGTTTGGGGGCAGTATTCATTGGGTACCCTCAAGGCAAAAGATCTGAACCAAAGTTCAGCTACCACTAGTTTAATAATTTGGGGATAAAAACATGTAAGAGCTTACAATTTGAGATCAGAAACGTTCAGGATACAGTTCTTTGGTCAGGACAACACTCCTCTGCTGTGCTTTCAGACAGGCCTTTCTCTTGATTCCTTAACTTGACCTCTATCTGCCCTGCTCATATAGAATGACACTGTTCTTGAAAGTATTGCTAATAAATGCCCCAAAGCCATCTACTCTATCATAAGCCTTAACCAGAAGATGACTAGCTCTAACTCCTTGGGTCAGCAAACCTAACTTCCTCAATTAATTGCCTACCAGTAAGTTAGATTTCTGCCAGAAGGCATTTGGCTTCTCTTACTCCCTGGACTAGGAAGCCACCGCTTTGTCTTACATTGTAGCTCAGCTGCTGCTGCCCTTCTGACACTCCTTTGGTGTTATAGTTTTCTGTCTTCTATATGTAAAGTTCAGCATGCAGGTATCTTGGGGTCTGAAGAACATGCTCCACTCCTGGCTCTTGTTTCCTGATTGTTACCAATTCCTCCCTTATTCTGAGATGGCTCATTTTATATCCAGCAGGGTGGCGAAATTGGCCAGTCCCCATATTAGAGCTCTACAATTGATGATCACAGTTAACCCTATTGTGTTAGTCTGGGTACATTAGAGAAACAAATCCACAGAAACACCTATGTATAAGAGAGAGTATTATATAAAGGGTAAGTACACATCAAGAAAACATCCCAACCCACTGCTGCCCAAGCCCACAAGTCAACATTAACCCAAATATCCAGCACCAATCCACAAAGTCCTTCTCGATCTCACAAAACACACACAGTGATGCTGACTACAGGAGGAAAGCCGAATCAGTGAACATGTAAGCATCTCAGTGCTGGCAGGGGTCTCCACAAGGCTGCTCCAGCAGTGAGGGCTATATCGGGGTACGTCCATGTGGCTTCTCCTTAGGATGTCTTGCAGGAAGTGAGCCTTGCCAGCTGAATCAGAGAACTGGCTAAGGCAGCTGCACCGTGGTCCAACCATCACAAAGAAAGAGACCTGAGAACTAGAAAGGTGAGGCTCACCCAGCCATTTCTCTC